AACGGTTGTCTCTCTCACTAGCGTAGAGGGTGGGGGAGTGGGGCGGAGAGCTATCATTTCAAAAGAACAGATAGTAGAAGTTTATTCCTTTTCAGTGGCCGATCCAAACACTGCCACACACGGCGAGGAAGATTTCACTCGAGCAGTTTTGTAACCTCGCTGGGATTCGAACTCACGACCTTTGGATTTGTATTACCGATGCTCTACCAGATGAGCTACAAGGCCAGACTGGGAGCAGGTCGGGGTGAAATAGATGTTAGGTTGCGGTAATAGAATAATGTAAAGATATGAATATGAGGACCGCATGGTAGAGCATCGGTAGTACAAATCCGAAGGTCGTGGGTTCGAATTCCAGCGAGGTCGGAAATTTTTCCGAATTTATTCTGGCATGAGCACCTTAAACAGTCCATGTTTTTAAAACTCTGTTTTCACGATAGGAAAGAGTATATTTTTAGTTTCATATGGTAAAATGTCGGCAGAGCTACGAGGACTTCAAACCTACCGAAAACGTGAAAACGAGGCTGGTAAGGCCTCAATACTGATTTTCACTCAAATCTTTGCAATTTCAAACACCTGTAATTTCTGGTCCTTAAATGTTAAAGCATTGAAACTAAAAGTTCTTTCAACGGGTAGCAATGATACAATAAAAATCTTATAAACTAAGGCGTTACAATAGCCACGCCCTTTTTCATATGGTCTATAACTTTCTTTTATTGTTACAACTGCCCGCTTTTGCCACTGCTTTTTAAAATTGCAATTGTGAAACTTAAACTGTTTTATTGCTTATTTGCTTTTATTTGACAAAATTAATTAATATTTGTTACGAAAAAAGATATCCAGTCTCGGGAGGAGACTCATATTTAGGGCAGGGATGTTCGTCGGAAATAAAAAAACCTAAAATATGCCAGAGTTGCGTCCTTTAACAAGGTAAGCGTGCCAGCATAATACTTTAACCCACAAAAGATACCAGCGAAAAAAAAACATATCTGTATTTTTAAGAGATTGAATGCCAAAATTGATTACCCACAGCCGCGGTATCTTTCTGGTATGATATCGATTCTACTGACTTTTCATGAAACAGAAAAATGAGCGTAATTAATCAATGCATTTTTGCATCACTCGTTGACTGAGAGGCATAGCAAAATTTTACAACTTTAAAAAAACAACAAAAAGAATGACCAGACTATTCTATTACAGNGGATGTACAAAGGCTAACTGTTGCTGTAGTCTCTAGTATTTGCTGTGATAAGTGAACTATAAACTCACTATCCTTTTCTGTACAGTTCTACAATACATAATTCATATTGTACAGTGTGTATGTGTGTCACTTACTCTCATTTTAATGCGCTGGAAATCCAGTACTCGTAGTTGTGGCAGGTTGTGTATGACAAACAGTCGATAATATGGCTTATTGGTGATAGGATTCCTTAACAAACTAGAAAAATATAACAAAATATCACGAAAAATGCTGGTTAAACATAATATTTTGTGTTCCCGTGGACAGTAATTTTATTTTTGAATTTTGTTTAAATTTTTTTAAAAGCAATTTTCATGTTTTCTTATGACACTGCATCAAAATGTTCTGTTATACATGATCTGGGGCAAATCACAAAAAAACATGCAAATGCTCACATGACATTCCAAATATGGTGAGTTATACAATGCAACAATCTCATTTCTGACCTTGCCACAAATGAACTGTATGCGCAAGTTACACGATTTTTATAGGAATAGCCGACTTTGAACTGTATGCGCAAGTTACACGATTTTTATAGGAATAGCCGACTTGCGAATTTCACAAAAGAATCAAGACGAGGCGTAGTGCGTAAAGCTTAGTCAATTGTGAAAAACTATTGTCTTTTTACGAATGACTGAGCTTTATGCACGGCGCCTCATCTTGATTCCTTTGTGTGTGACTACCGAAGCAAAATTCGCAAGTCGGATATTATTTTCGATTTACCTTAAATATCTTAAATTCTTAACAGAATGGAGAGGTTCAATGTCTTTCTGCAAATACAACCACAGTATTAGAAGGTCATAGCAATAAAAACAATAATATAAATATATAAAATAATATCAAAACCTTACCAAGTCTTGAATAGAATTACTGGTAAGAACTAATGTCTCAAGATTGGGTAGACTTTCTTCAAGGCCTTCTGTGATACGGCTACAAATCAATAACAWCAGTGATTAYTGATATTCAATAATCAACACCAAAWGAATGGTCATGTTTACCATKATTA